ATGCTGCTTGGCCTGCTGTGTTCATCCAGCTCTGCACCTTGTTGTCTCGGATTCTCCAACATCTGCAGTTCCTACTATCTCTGATCTCAGAGTAAGAGATCCCCAAGAAACTGCGACAATACCATTTAACATTCAGTTTGAGTGAGAAACTTGAGTGGGAAAGAACTATGCCAAACCTAAATATGGGTAATTACATTGGGACGTCAGCTGAGTTGGCTGGAGTGGACCAGGGAGGGAGGGTAGCATAAAAGATGTTGAGCAATGCTGGCAGGTGTTTAAGAAAAAGTTCATGACTCACAGCAAAAATATATCCCAGTGAGGAAGAAGAACACCAGGAAGAGAATAAACTGACCATGGTTATCCTGGGAAGTTAAGAATGATATCAAATTGAAAGATAAGGTAGACAATATGTCTAAGATTAGCAGTAAACCAGAAAATTGGGAAAGTTTAAAAAGCCAACAAGTATAAAAAGATAACCAAAAGAAAGGGGAGAAGGTAAACTCTGAGGGCAAACTAACCAAGTAAAACTAGACAGTGGAGAGTCTTTAAATTTTTAAAAAAGGAAAAGAGAGGCCAAAAGAGGGGCTTAAAGAACAAGGCTGGGAAACAGTAATGGGGCATCAAGAAACAGCAGAGGAGTTGAATAAATACTTTGCATCAGTATTCAAGGTAGAGGACATGAACAGCAATTCAAAAATACTAATTAATTAAGGGGTAGGAGGTGGGGTAGGAAAGAGAGAGAGGCAGAGAGAACACCTTCCATGTAACAAGCTTTATCAAAAAAGGGAAGGAGATAGAACACAGGTATGTATAGGCGATTTAGCTTAATGTCTGACATTGTGAAAATCAGTCTCTTATAAAGAGTATAATAGTACAGCATTTAGAAATACATAATATGATCAAGCAGAGTCAGCATGGCTTCATAAAGGGGGAATCATGCCTGATAAAATCTACTAGAATTAATTCTTTGCTGGCAGTGGGGGATATAACAAGCAGGAGAGAAGATCCCATGGGATTCAGGACAGTATATTAGCATGGATAGAGAATTGATCAACTAAAAGAAGACAAAGAGTTGAGATAATGGGAACATTTTCAAGATGGCCAGCAGTAACCAGTGGAGTGCCATAGGTATCAGTGCAGGGGCCACAATTATTGACAATATGTTATTTATCCCTTGGAACGCAGATATGAACACACAATAGTCAAGTTAGCGAATGACACAAAAATAGGTTGGTAGGCAAGTGGTGAGGGTAACACAAAGAGACTGCAGAGAGATACAGACAGGTTAAGTGAGTGTGCCAATATGTGGCAATGGCATATAGCATAGAAGAATGTGAGGTTATGCACTTTTGAATAAAGAATAGAAGAGTTAATATTATTTAAATGGAGAAAGATTGCAGAGAGCTGCAGCAAAAAGGGATTTGGAAGTTCTCATTCATGAACCATAAAAAAAAGCAGGTAATTGGGAAGGCAAATGGACAGCTGGCCTTTATTTCAAAGGGAATGGAGTGTAAAAGTAAAATAAATTTTAAAAATTGCTAAAACTATACAAGATATTAGCTGGAACCACATATAGAATACCGTGAACAGTTTTACTCCCCATATCAAAGGAAATATAAACTGGTAGTGGATGCAGAGCAGAGAAGGTCCATAGGCTGATGCTGGGTATGGCAAGATCTTCTTACTGAACATGTTCAGCAGGTTGGGTTTGTACACGTTGGGAATATAGAGGATTGAGAGATCTTATTGAACCATATAATATTATTTGGGGTTTGACCGGGTAGGTGCAGGGAGGTGTTCCCCCTTGTGGCAGAGTATAGGACTAGAGGGCATAATCTCAAACTAAGGGGTCACCCATTTAAGACAGAGGAAAAATTTCTTCTATGATTGTAATTAATGGGTGGAATTCTCTACCACCAAAGGCTAACAAGGCTGAATTGTTACATATATTAAAGGCTGAGATTGATTTATAATTGATAAGGGAATCAAGGGTTACAGGGATAAAGGTAGTGAAGTGGAGTTGAGGATTATTAGATCAACCATAATTTCATCAATGGGAGATTTTATTTATTCACATGTGGGATGTTGGCGTGGTTCGCTGGCCAGCATTTATTGTCTAACCCTAGGTGCCCTTGAGAAACTGGTGATGAGCGGTTGATTTACAATGCAGTTAGGGAAGGAATTCCAGGATTTTAACCCAGCGACAGAGAAGGAACACCAATACATTTCCAAGCTCGGAATGTGGCTTGGAGAGGATCTTGCAGGCGGTAGTGATCCCATGTATCTGCTGCTATTGTCCTTGTCTTTCTAGATGGTAGTGGTTGTGGGTTTAGAAGGGGGCTGTCTAAGGATCTTTGGTGAATTTCTGCAGTGCATCTTGCAGATAGTACACACTGCTGCAGCTGAGCAACAGTGGTGAAGGGAGTGAATGCTTGTGGATATGGTGCCGATCAAGTGGGATGCTCTGTCCTGGATGGTGTCAAGTTTTTTGAGTGTTGTTGAAACTGCACCCATCCAGGTGAGTGGGGAGTATTCCATCATACTTCCAACTTGTGCTGTGTAGATGATGGACTGGCATTGGGGAGTCAGGAGGTGAGTTACTTGCTGCAGTATTCCTAGCCTCTGACCTGCTCTTGTAGCCACTGTGTTTATGTGACGAGACCAAAGGTACTGGGGGATACTTGATGAGCCTAATGGCGTAGGCCTACTGCTACTTTTTATGATCATAATTATCCTCTCTCAATAGTTGTCAAAGTGGCTGTGCTAATAGACATTTAAACTTCAGAAAATTGCGTTGTTACTACTGCAAAAAGGGAGCATGTTTCTGATGATGATTCTCTCCTCTGCTGGCTATGATGTTTCCTGGATAGATCTCCATTGTCTTGTAACAGGACGTCTGGTGCAGAACTGACCTAAAGTGGGTTATTTTTAAGTCCGACTGGGGTTGGAAATAGGGTTTCCGACCCCTATCAGAATTTCTTGACTTTACTCTCCACTATTGTGTACCTCAGCAGCAGCGTGCATTATCTATAAGATGTATTATAGCAACTTATAGTGCCTTCCAAACATGTGATCTCTACCATCAAGATTAACACAAGGGTAGCAGATGCCTGGGAATACTTCCACTTGCAACTGCCCCTCCAAACCACACACCATCTAGTCTTGGAATTACTTTGCTGTTCCTTTACTTTGATCAGAATCTGGAACTCCCTCCCTATATAACATGGACTGCAGCGGTTCAAGATGGTGGCTCATCATTACCCTTCTCAAGGGAAATCAAGGATGAGCAATAAATGCTGGCCTTGGCAATAAATGGTCATATACAAAGAACAAATAAAAATAAGTCCCCTTTATGTAAAGAAAGGCTCCACTTCAAAAGAAATTTAAAAATCTGACAAACAAGATAGTAAAATGATAGCCAAACTTACTTCTGAAGAAACAGCAATGCCCAATTAGTGAAGGACATTAAATGCTCTCTATAATTTTGATCTCAAAAGCCACAATTCTTGTGAATTGTTATGGGAATCACACTGAAGTTAAAGCGACTAATTGAGGTTGCATGCCAGCTCAAAGGCACAGCAGATGAGAGGGAACTAGTGAATTCCAAAATAGAAGTGATAATTAGCCACAGTTAGGATGATATGGAAACATGTCTAAGGCATACGGTAATCGGTGCTCGTGCAACTTAAGGCATCATGTTTATTCAATTAAATCATTTAATTTCCTCTGGTTAGGCTGACATGCAAATTTCCTTTGCAAACTATTTTAATACAGTTATTAATTAACAAGTATATAGTAGAGGAAATTAAATCCTTAAATAGCTGAGTGATTTAAAATACATGAAAATAAAGCATATGTTATGGTCTTTAGATCTCATTAAACATTGCAATATTATTTGATAGCATGAAAGGTTTATTGAAGATTTGGTCTTTCATGGTAAATAGGATGAAGGCAAAACAAAAAAAAATGAAACTGTGGACATCAGAATACAGAGAATAAAAAAGAACACTAAAGATAAAATCAGTGAAACTAAAAAAGATTTTCCACAGAAATCAAACAGGCTGGATTTGTGAATCACTGTACGTATATCTCTAGAATTATGACTGAAGTTAAAAGGCTAATATCATTGAATCAAAATTATTCAATTTGAGAGTCACCAGTTTCAGCATCGCTACTGGTGACAGATACATAATATTGCAACAAGGCGAAGCTCATACTAGCCCAGTGAATCAAATATTACCTTCCATGACAGGTATCAAGACAAATACCACAATTAGATAAGTTTAATGGAACTGGCTTTTAGTGTTAAGCCAAAACAAATTCTTTTTTCCGTAACCTTTCAAGGAATTGGGTAATAGCAGCATTACTTATATTGGACTGCAACATGAATTTAAACTTTAACTGAGGAAAATGCAATTATGTTAGAGTACTCCATTAAAACTCACCATGAATTCATTAGCTTTTTACATTGATTTCATGTGGCTCCAACTGTGTTTAAATATTTTACAATAATGAACTATCCTGTGGCTAATATGGTGCAAATTAAAGTGACTAAGAAATTCAATCGTTTCTGGATTTTTCTTCCAATGTATCAGGGTCTTACAAATAGGGCACAAAAGACAATTAGAAAACAAAAACAGGAGACAAGAAAATATAATCACCTCTCCATTCATGATCCTGGTTTTTTAGTGCAGGAAGACAGATTGGTTTGATTACATTCTCGTACATGTTCTGATCGAGTAGGCCTCGAACCTCCAGCAGCTGTAGCATAATACTGGTGAAGAGGTATGAAAGGTCGCCTGTCAAACCATTTCCATCTATTTCACTGGTGACTCTACTATAAAATCGAAGAAGATGATGTCGTAAAGCACTGTCCTTTAGAAGTTCTTGAGCTATTGCACTGCAGGACAGGATATTTCTCTGAAGCCATCTTAGTACAGAGAAACACTCAGATTCACTCATTGGATTTTCAATTCCTGACTCGATAACCCATTTCACTATCAAACATGTGGTTGCTTTAATAGCACTGTCTATTTTATCCTGGCTCTCCTGGAAACCTAAGGTTTCACTTTGGAAGACTGCAGCCCAGTGTGTGAATATAGACCTCAATGATACTTTACAGTCTTCTAGACAGGTCTCTTCCACCCCGTTCTCCGTATCATCCTGTGTGTCACCCCTCTTCCTTCTACTGTGCTGAGATCCTCTCCAACCATGTCCTTTAGGTTTGTTCTTCTCTTTGTTAATTTCTGAAAAAGATTAATACATAGTGGAATCAATAGGAGGATATGAGGGCACTCATTTTTACAGTTAAGAAAAACTTTCCATTCAGAGGAATTAATTACTGATTTTACATTAGTATAATCTATAGTCATTCAAACAGGTTAATGGCTTTTACCTCTTGTCAACAGTTTAAATTATAGAATGCTTGAAAAAGCCACAAACTTCTCTTCCTGCAAAATATTCCATTAATATCAAGTAGATAGTTTTTTTTTAATTTACTTGTGGGACATGGACATCACTGGTTGGCCAGGATTTATGGCCCATTCCTAGCTGTCCTTGAGAAGGTGGTGGTGACATTTTTCTTAACTATGAAATCCACATGCTGTATGTTAACCCACAATGCCCTTAGGGAGGGAATTCCAGGATTTTGACCCAACGACAAGTCAGGACGGTGAGTGGCTTGGACGGGAACTTGCAGGTGGTGGTGGTGTTCCCATGTATCTGCTGCCCCTATCCTTCTAGATGGAAGTGGTCGTGGGTTTGGAAGGATCTTTGGTGAATTTCTGCAGTGCACCTTGTAGATAGTATACACTGCTGCTACTGACCATTAGTGGTGGAGGGTGTGGATGTGGTGCCAATCAAGTCGGTTGGTTTGTCCTGGACGGCATCAAGCTTCTTGAGTGTTGTTGGAAGTGCACCCATCCAGACAACTAGAGAGTATTCCATCACACTCCTGACTTGTGACTTGTAGATGCTGGAGAGGCTTTGGGAGGTGAGTTACTCGCCACAGTATTCCTAGTCTCTGACCTGCTCTTGTAGTCATTGTGTTCATGTGGCGCGTTCAGTTCAGTTTCAGGTCGACAGTAACCCCAGGATGCTAATAATGGGTGATTGTCAAAGGCGGTGATTACGTTGTCTCTTATTGGAGATGGTCATTGCCTGGCATTTGTGTGGCATGAATGTTACTTGTCACTTGTCAGCCCAAGACAGGTCATGTAGCCTTTGGGCTGGGAATGACAACAGTATCTGAGGAGTTGAGAATGATACTGAACATTGTGAAATCATTGGCAATCATCCTCACTTCTGACCTTATGATGGAGGGAAGGTCATTGATTAAGCAGGTGAAGATGGTTGGGCCTGGGGACACTACCCTGAGGAACTCCTGCAGTGATGACCTGGAGCTGAGATGACTGGCCTCCAACAACCACGACCATCTTCCTATGTGCCAGGTACGACTCCAACCAGCAGCGAGTTTGCCCCCAATACCCATTGATTCTAGTTTTGCTCCGGCTCCTTGATGCCACACTCAGTTGAAAGTGGCCTTAATGCTGAGGGTTGTCACTCTTACCTCACCTTTGGAATTCAGCTCATTTGTCCATATTCAAATCAAGGCTGTAATGAGGTCAGGTACTGAGTGGCCTTAGCGGAACCTAAACTGGTGTCAGTGAGCTGCTTGGTAGCACTGTTGATAACACCTTCCATCACTTTACTGATGATCAAGAGTAGATTAAAGGGGGTGGTAATTGGCTGAGTTGGATTTGTCCTGCTTTTTGTGTACAGGACATACCTGGGCAATTTTCTACATTGTCGGGTAGATGCCAGTGTTGTAGCTGTATTGAAAGAGCTTCGCTAGGGGAGCAGTAAGTTTTGGAGTAGTACTATTGCCAGCATGTTGTCAGGGTCCATGGTCTTTATAGTATCCAGTACCTTCAACTACTTCATGATATCACCTGGAGTGAACTGAATTGGATGAAGGCTGGACTCTAATGCCGGGGAACACTGGAGGAGGCACAGCTGGATCACAACTTGGCACTTCCACTGAAGGTTGCTGCGAATGCTTCAGCCTTATCTTTTGCACGGATATGTTGGGTTCTTCCATCATTGAGGACTGGGATATTTGTGGAGCCTCCTCCTCCAGTGAGTTGTTTAATTGTCCACCACCATTCATGACAAGGTGTAGCAGGACCACAGGGCTTAGATCTGATCTGTTGGTTGTGGGATCACTTAGCTCCATCACTTGCTGTCTATACTGTTTGGCACACAAGTAGTCCTGTTTGCTAGCTTCACCAGGTTGATGCCTCATTTTTTAGGTATGCCTGGTGCTTTTCTGGCATGTATTCCTGCATTCTTCATTAAACCTGGGTTGATCTCGTCACTCTTACTGATGCTGTCATGGCCAGATGCATCTGTAGCCAGCGATTTGGTAATGATGAGATCAAGTATGTTCTTCCTTCTTGTTGGCTCCCTCACCACCTGCCATAGACCCAGTCTAGCAGCTATGTCCTTTAGGACCTGACCAGCTCGATCAGTAGTACTGCTGCTGAACCACATGGTCGGGTCTCCAGAAAATTAGCTGAATTTCTTGATTAATAGTTCAGTGATTATTCCACTTGGCCATCACCTCCCACTGAGGCCAATTATGGCCAATAACTAATTGTCTATGATAATAACACAAAATAAGTAATGTTGGTACTATTTGTTTGATGTTTGTTATAGTTAGCTGGTGCTTAGTGTGTGTTCAAGTTATACCGTAGTTAGAAAAATGGTCACTGGTAGATTAGTGACAAACCATATATTCTCCTCTGACAGCCAACCCCAGGGATTGAACCCAAAAATTTCAGAACAAAGGAGTAAGTGGGGTTGAATTACAATTAGGAGGGAACAGTAAAACCAAACAAATATTTCACTGTGTAAAAATATTTCACTGTGTAAGGAATGAGAGTAAGAAATAAATTCTAGTTATCATCAAAGTTTCAAAGCGGTAATGACACCGATGGGTTAATAACTGTGATTTTAAATGTTGATATATTTTCTTCTAAAACGGGTGAGAGTATTGTCTGGCACTTTGCAGAGTGCAACAGTAGAGGCTGAACTCAGTCATATATGATTCAAAACTATTGCAAATGATGGCTATTTTTACAAAATGCAAGTACAGGCTAGGTTTTTCTTAAGCAGAGAAATAACAGCGAAAAGTTTTAAGCGATTTAAATGATTTTGCAAGTCCTCAACTTCCTAGCCACTAGAGTTCACTTTATTTATTCTGTATGGCTAAATTAAGCATGCGTGTCATCCTCTCAAAACCACTACCTGTATAAAGTTTGACCCCATGATGTTTGATCTAAAAAGTTGCTCTCATAAAACTTGCTTTTGTGTTTATATGTGGCATTTTATGGCTGATTATGTAAACTATTTACATAAAAATGCTCACGGCGACCACACAAGAAGCTGTAATAAAACAAAAGTCAGAAAAGGACTGAAAGTGAATAATAATGAAATATGAGAAGAAAATTCTTTTAGCAATATATCTTAGCAATAAATTGACCCCAGCTGTCTTATTTGCAACATGGTCTCTATCGTTTGTGTGCAAGAGAAAAGTTGCCATCCCATTATAACCTTTGAAATGATAAAATCTTGCAGAACTTAAAGAAGACAAGATAAACTTTATAGTTTGTTCGTTCATTAGGAACAATAGATTTTTATGACGTCTCCTGGTCCATTTCTTTAAATGTAAGCAGTTGTGTCAACAGATGAGCCGTCAGTAGATCAACCCACAAATCTATGCTTCACAAATAATGTAAGTAACCCATTTAAATTAACTCATTCCAGCTAATTTAGGAACACAACTTTTTTTTATTGCATTTGTTTCTTGCACTAATTGGAGCAGAGCAAGGAATTATATGCATTGAACATCATGTAGATAGGTCAGATTTGTGGAGGAAACAACTAAACATTTGGGTTCAACGACTTTCCATCAGAATTAATGAAGAATCATTGAACTCATAAATGGGGAATAAATTCCTCAGACCAATGGAGGCAGCTTTAGAGGTTTGGAGTGGGCAGTGGGATGCAGTCAGTGGGGTGGGATTGGCTAAAATAACACTCGGCCAGCATCTGACAACCTCTGACCTTTTTTGTGTGTTTTTGCCAGAGATGGACACATAGTGGGGACAGCAATTGTTCTGGCAGCAGTGGGAATCCAATCAAGGTCATTAAGGAGCTAATCGGTGCCCGTTACTGCAGCAATTTTGCAGGCAGTGCACTGGCCCCTAATCTGTTGTGTCTGTATCCCGTCAACTAAGAGATGGCTGTTCTGTGGGAGGCTAAAGCTGCTTTGCAGCTCAAAGAGTTCTGTGGATGATTGTTTCTGATCGTTATGAACTGGACAAGATCACAGTATTCCCCTCTCCAGTACAGATGGCAGCTCCATTGCTTCCTTGTCACTTTGCCCTCAGCAATACTCCCGCTGATCCCATAATGAGGGCTGCCAGTTTCCTGTGCTGTGGCCACACTGTCTGTAACTCCCTCTTCAGGTACAGGCCTGGTAACTGTGCTGTTGCAATGAGCAGATTTGACCGTGGTAATTGCCCGGTCTCGCAGTTATTCACGACTTTGGTAAAATTCAGCTGGTTAACACCGTTTTACTCTCCCTAAATACTGCCTGGCCATCGGAATGTTTTCAGTATCACATGTACACCTTTCCTAATCAGAAAACTATAACATATGGAGCTTTTTACATCCAAGTTCTAACAAATTCTAACTCAAGCAGAATGCTTGCCCTTTTGATAAGCAGCAGGCTTTATTTATTTGAAGCTGATAGTTTAGTGACTATTTTTATTAGAATAAATTCTAAAATATAGTATTTCAATATTAAAATGGATTGGTTGAAAACAAAGTAAAAACGTAAGACTTACGTAATATTTCCTTAACTTCATATTTATGGGCCAAAGTTTGCAACTCCTCCTGTATATGGGACTCCTTTCCCACAATACTCCACTTATATAACAATAACAAGGCCTCTGTATGAGACAGAACTCTTTCATTTATGGTAATCCAGCCCACTTCCTTGTAGTTATCGAAAGCACCAGAACGATGATGTAAAACCGAACTTAATATCTGTAAAAATTCTGCAAATGTTTTGGTGTCAACCTTTATCCTGTCAAGATAAAGCAAATCATTTAAGGGAATTATTTTAAGCATAATGTTGTCTCAATTTAAAAGTAATATCTATTAAGTGGAGATGAAAGAATTCCCTTCGGATTTTCCAACCTTTTTGTGAGGTTCATATGGTGCCTGATCATGACATCACTTGTTAAATTTGCTGGAATACAGCACCATGGACATGAACCAGTGTTCTAAATAAACACGGCCCACAACGTTATCCTTTAACATATAATTCATGCATCAGCTTGGCTCAACTGGGTCTATTGCGCGCCATTGAGGAGAACCACAGCAGAGCTTCAGCACATAACTTGCACTTACATGTAGTACTGAAAGGATTCAACATTTTTGAATATTACGTACTTCTAATGTGAGGTTAGACCAAGTTCCCATTCTGATGATCCTATGACATTATTCAAAGGAAAGGGAAATTCCCCTATGTGCTGAATTAAATCCAACTGTCATTCAATATCACCTTAAATGGATTAACTGTTCATTCAGTACTTGCTTGTTTGTGTAAAAGAAATGCTTTGAAGAGGTTAAATGTGCAAGATGCTAAGCGAATGCACATATTACATCAGTAAAAATAAACTCCCTACAGAATTTCATTAATATAAATTTCTTACCAAATGTGTTGCATTAGAACAGTCAGAACATATAGAAATTCATGTATCAGCAGAAGAGGCAAAAACTTCTGAGTCTTTTCTTTGTTTCCTAGGTTAGTGAACCACAAAGTGTGTAGGAGCGAAATCAAATCAGACATCAGTCTGTTTTCTAAAACCCTGGAAAAAAAATACAAATCAGTTCCAATTACATGCAACAGATAATGTAATTTTGATAAATTTAGATAATTCTCCCTAAATGGTATAAAAAGCAACATATAATGATGAACGTGCAAGATATCACAGGATATATGTATGCTTTCTTTCAAATTTTCAAAACACTTTAAAAGGCCCAAAAGTATATTGCAGAAATATTTTGTGTCCTTGTATTTGCTCTGTAGTGCATCATAAATATGTTTGACATATGCTGGAGTAATAGGTTCACTTTCCCTTGTAAATAATAACAGTATAAAATTGGAACAAACACCACAGAGCAAGCATGTACAAATTATACAAATGTTTAAAAAAAACGTTATAACTTGGCAATAAATGACTTCATTTAAATAGAAGGTAAATTAATAAATTGAAATAGATGTATATATCTTCAAAAATAACTTGAAGGAAAGCCAGTTGTTGAAACCATACAGGTGTGAACATACCGTCTCTGTAAGATATGCAATATCCATGTCAGTAAATTGTGGTCTCTGATCAGCTGATATGCTGCTTTTGTGATGTGGGCAGCATGTATCAGTATCTGGATTATCTGTTTCTTTAAATGAAACAGAAAATATTAAAACGCTTTGAAAACTTAAAAACATTTAAAACCAAAATAACATTCAATGGCCTACCCTGTTGCTAAAGTTTTACCCTTTCTGCAGAGTTGATTTTATTGCTACTTTAGCCTGGTTTCAAAATAGAAACTGCAGCCTACCTCTGCTGTCTCATCACACAATGGGCTGTTAAAAAAGGCAAGGAGAACATGGATGATTTTCTGACGGTCACAAAGCTCATAGCAGTCTTTGTCCTTTAAACCATTTATAAGGAGTTCAAAAATCCATTCACGTTCAGTCTTGTGCTGAAAAATAAAATGAAAGATCACGTATTTTAAAAAAAAAGAACAGAATCAGGATGTTCTTTTCATCACGGTATACAAGTTGAAATTCAGCTTATTTCACCTGGCACTGCGCTAACTGCCTTCAGTGGCTTCCCATACTGAAACTGGAACCGTCTATAATAAAGTTTTGGCCAATATTTAATCATTTAAAAAAAAATTAAATTCTCCCACCCCACCTCATCGGTCCAGTTTCTTTTATGGAGGAGTCTGTCACAGCAGGTTTCCTCGGAAATAATACATTCAAGATATTGATGTGAAAGCCTAGATGATAAATTTTACCAGATGAATTGTATCACTGTTGAGCTCAATCCTCGTCACATTCCAAAGGCCATACCTACTGTTTATTTCCAGATGCATTGTGAGCAGGAATTAGAACACTGTCCAAGATATTCTTTTTCTTAAGCCAGGGCTTGCTCTTCCTCACACTCACCATTAAGACAAGCTAACTCAACACATGAGGAATTGAATTAGATTTTCTTGATCTGTTTAGTTTAGTACCAAAGCACACAATGCCTTAAATCACTGAAGAAAATTATTTTTTATGACTATTGTTATATATCTGTGAAAACTTTTTATCAACAAGTGAGCAGCATACCATAAAAAAAGGGAAACAATTTTACCTCCATGTCAAAGCTGTAGAAAAGCTTGAAAAACCCAGGCACTTTTCTCAAGTCCAAATATTGATGTGTCAATAGGAAATTATTAATCTTCATGTACATGTGTTCCTCTATAGGTATGTGGGAAAAACAAATTTTACAAATTTATTTTAACAAAAAATGCAAGTTTGATTTTTCAAGATTAGCTTTTAAATATAACTCCGAGCATATACAATTAGATTTGATCATAGGTTTAATTTTTGCTTTTCAATTACAATAACCCACCCCATTCCCTCGGCTGGAAAAACTGTACCTTATTTTCTTGATGTTAAAAATCTAATTTTTCCATTCTTGCCGTATTTTTCCAGCTGACCCACCATTGCTCACATTGTTCAAGGCCTGGGAAAACTCTTCCTAGTTATTTACTAGGTATACTTTAGGGTGATAGGATCTTGCTATAACTATAAATGCATGTCAAAATACATATTTGCTCAAATAAGTGATGTTTATTATATGATGTTCATTGTATCATATAAATCATTTTTAATTTCATCTAGTTAGAAATTTATGTTTCAAATATGATTTTTAAAATAAAAGCAATGTGCAGCAGATGCTGACAATCTGAAATCAAAATGGAAAATCAGCAGTTTTACCAGCATCTGTGGAGAGAGAAACAGAGTTAACTGATCAAGTCTGATAGAGTCATAGAGATGTACATCATGGAAACAGGCCTGTTGGATCCAACTCGTCCATGCCAGCCAGATATCCTAAATAAATCTAGTCCAGTTTGCCAGCATTTGGCCCATATTCATCTAAACCATTCCTACTGATATAGCAATCCAGATGCCTTTAAAATGTTGTACCACCTCCACCACTTCCTCTGGCAGTTCATTCCATACACCGACCACCCTCTGCATGAATAAGTTACCCCTTAGATCGCTTTTAAATCTTTCCCCTCTCCCCTTAAACCTATGCCCTCTAGTTTTGGATACCCTTAACCTGGGGAAAAGACCTATCACCCTATCAATGCCCCTCATGAGGGTCAAACCTCAGCCTACGATGCTCCAGGGAAAACAGCCTCAGCCTACTCAGCCTCTCCCTATAGCCCAAACCCTCCTACACTGGCAGCATCTTCGTAAATCTTGGCTGAACCTTTTCAAGTTTAACATCTTTCCTATAGCAGACAGGCCAGAATTGAACACAGTATCCCAAAAGTGGCCTAACCAATGTCCTGTACAGCTGCAACATGATCTCCCAAATCATGTACTCAACGCACTGACCAATAAAGGCAAGCGTACCAAATGCCTTCTTCATTACCCTGTCTACCTGCGATTCCACTTTCAAGGAACTATGAACCTGCACTCTAAGGTCTCTTTGTTCAGCAACACTGCCCAGGACCTTACCATTATGTGTAGAAGTCCTGCCACGATTTGCCCTACTGAAATGTAGCATCTCACGTTTATCTAGATTAAACTCCATCTGCCACTCCTTGGCCCATCTGATCAAGGTCCTGTTGTACTCTGGGGTAACATTCTTCACTGTCTACGAGAACCACCCATATGATAAATCTGCTTGAGAACCCAGAACTTTTAAAAGTGGTTTAATCTATATAAAGACCCAAAGATCTTCTAAATTCAGATATTAGTTCTTTCAGATAATCAGAGTGGAAAAAAGGGGAGATTTTACTTGACTTTCCTTCTACTGTACAATATTTAGCAATAGAAGTATGACATATTATCATTGCTGTGGTTAGTTCCAGTTCTGACATGGTCTGTTGGCCTTTTAACTGAAGCCATAAATCTTGGCTCACTTCACCAAACATATTTCAATCTTTAATTGTCGATGCTTCCACCCATCCTGATTGCCATAATATATTCCACTTCAACAAATGACTTCTGTAAACAATAATAATGTTATTTCTCTGTCTGGAACTTAATGGATTTTCAAATATCAGGATCAGAAAATCAATTCTCTAATTATCATAGGTACATGGTAACCACCACATCAATGTGTCAAAAGTTGAAATTTAATTGAATTGTCCACAAGCCATTTCATATAAAATGGCATTTGGTAACAGACAAATAAAACAGAATCATAGGTGACTGGAAGTCATAGATAATTTACAGATACTATTTATCAAGATGACATCGGGGATGAGGCACATCAGTTAGATGGAGAGATTAGAGAAGCTCTGATTTTCCTTACAAGCAGAGAGGGTTAAGGTGACATTTAACAGAGCTGTGCAAAATTTTGCCGGGTTTTGATCGGGTGCAGAGTTAGAAATTGGTTCAATGTTAGGAAGGCTAGTAATCAGAGAACATAGAATTAAGATAATTAGCAAAAGAACTGGGTGGATAGGAGAGCTTTTATTTTTCCAAGCAGTAAGTTATCAGGATCTGGAACACATTGTTTGATAAGAATTGTGAAAGCAGATTTGATAGTAATTTTGAAAAGGGAGTTGGTAAGTACTTGTGAGGGGAGTCTATAGGGAATGAGCAGGGACAGGGACTAAATTGAACAAGTCTTTCAAAGATACAAAGGTATATTTCACAGGTATGATGGTGCGAGTGACCTCCTTCTGTGCTGTATGGTTCTATGACACCTGCGATTCCTTAAACTTACATTGCCACCGCAGAATTAGTTGACACAGGATTGAAATGGAAAGGTTCAAATAAACATACTGACTAGAAGTACCCCCATCTATAGTGGAAGAAATTGGGGATAATATGTTTACTGGTATATTTACTGGGTATACTGCCTGGTGATAGGATCTTGCTATAACTATAAATGCTTGTCAAAGTGGATATTTGCTCAAACGACTGATGTTTATTACATAATGTTTGAATGGAAGATGGTGGCTTGAATATAGATGCAGTTGAGATGAAATGTATGTACAGACATAAAGGAAAATGACAGTAGCCCATGTCACCGAAAACATAGCAAGATCACACGAGAATTCATAATGTTCGAACAATGTTGATGTTTGATTATTTACCTACATTATTATTTAATTATCTTCATGGCCAGGAAATGAACTGAGGTATCTGTAGGTATTTATTTCCAGTAGGAAGTTAAAAAAGAGCCTTCTGACAGTATAAATGATCTGTTGATGGATGGGGTTTGGTCTGTATTTTATTTTTCCATGATCTTCTAAAATCTTTAATCAGTAAACAATGGAATAATAAATATTGCCACAGACATTATTTGAAAATTAATTGTGTTTAATGGTGTGTAGGCCAAGGGCATTAACAGCACTCACTTAAGCTCCTATAAATAAACACATACTAAAAATTGTGGCTGTTGATTTAGGAGGTACATGTTTGCAGTGTGTAACACCAAATAAATATAAAATTGCGCAAAGATTAGCTCTAGTTGTATTCTTCACTAACTAGCTTTCTGCAGTGGAGAGATGTATGTCATACAACACATGGTGACTTCACCAGAGACTGACCTGAGTGAACAGTCTTATGTTCTACTGAATTTAATCATTGTAGACAAAGTAAACACACTATTGAATGTGCTGTTACACGGTGGATGAAAACAAATCGGTTTCCTTCAGGCTTTGTTCCAACATCTGCCAACCACATTTCAGAAAAACACGATTTTCAAATCACATTACAGGTTTTTCAGCCACTGATAATGAGCTTTCTGAGTCTGTTTCTATAAATCAAATTGTCACTGTGATCCTAATTGTTCATAAGAATGAAAACAAACTTAGTATTTTCTGATCTTTTTTAATTCGTATTATGTGAAATATTATGTAGCATGTTACCTAATTGCCAGAAAAGCCTACAAAAGCCTCACCTAGTCTGCATGTAAGGGCCCTGACAGTGCCAGCACAGAACCTGGGATCCTACACAACACTATTCATTCCAACAGTCAGCAATCCGACTGTCAGTCAAACCGTTTCCTCCTCATCAAACCTCACCATACCATTTACCTAAAGGACACTGACCTAAATGGCAGATGCAACAAAGTAGAGGTCAAGGCATCAAGGAGCTCAAATTAAGTGCTTCACTTGTCGAAACAAACATTAACATAATTCCACACAGATGGCTACGCACACCCAAGTGAATCCTGTTGTGCAGCCAAAGTCTTTTCCATATGTTTCCTATTACTCTCACAATCTCTGCTCAGCTGGAATCATGTTGATCATTTCCCTGCTTTGACAGATGAGATTTATGTGCTGGACATTTTTAGAGGTGGAATCTGTGGTAAAAGATAAAGTCACCAGAGTCATTAGAGAGACACTGCTGGTGGTTTAACCTGAGGGACATCACCCCTCAGGCAAGGAGAAAGGTTGAGAAGGAAATTCACTCATGTAACTTCAGCTGGTGTGGGAATTAAGCCACTCCACTTTACAAACCAGTCATCCAGCCAACTGAGCTAACCATTTAAGCTATTTGTCTTGCACTCATCAGGACAGGCATAAGAATATAGAATTTCAAAGTGAACACCAATTACACTGCATGAGAAAAAGAAAGTTGATTTGATTGACAAGTGGACCTTGATTGGTTGGGGCACTGCCATGAAGAATTCACCAGGAAACAGTGATTCCAAAGCTTCCATATAAATTCCAAAAATGCAAGTCGATTGATTGGTCAAAGCGTGTTACTGGAATGCACTAGAAGACAAAGTGCCCAAGCTTTAGTTGAACTGAAAAGCTGTAAAGCCTGGACAAACACTCTTTGCCTACAGAGGACCAGGGCCTGCATATGAAAACATATAGCTTCCAGCAAGAGAATGTGAGCCCCTTGCAAGCCCTACTGATGATCCTAAATTGGTAGCTAATGTAATTCTTGGCACAATTAGGATTGTTGAATCATGGAATCACATCTAATGTTGGACTCTGTGCCCTGAGTTTTGCAAACACAGTCTGGCAGAGTATGATTAGCACTCCATATGTTCCTAACAGCCTAACAGATATATTGGTTACTACCATCCTCCAATTGTGGTTGTGTGCAAGATGAAAGGCTTTAACATCATGTTTCTTTATTTCAGCGATACTGAAGTTCTGTGCTACCAAATATCTAGTTAGAGTTGAGTCAGAGAAAAGTTTTAAACTTGACAATACCCAAATCATGGCATTTTAGTTAGTGGTAACATCAAATCAACATGAATCACATGACCTTTAAATGCTAAGTGGCAATATCTAATGGTATCATCAGGGTTCTGGGTCACATCCACCTTTCTGTTGCCAATGCATAACATCTCGTGCCACCCTATTGATCTCCAGGGCGTACTCCTCCGAAAATTGTCAAGATGGGTTACAGGTGTTGGTCCATCCTCCTATTTTCTGCCTTCACCTGGAGTAGTGTACTCTTTTCTCTTGCAATAAGATCAAGCAGAGTTATGACTATGAGAAGTGGATTGAGTATTGAGGATATATGACAATTTTTAGGTAAGAATGAATGAGAGATGGCAATGGGATGAGGAAGAGTATGAATATTGGAAATTGAGGTGGAGATTTGAGGTGGTAGCGGAGAGAAGCAGATGCGTGGAACTGCAAGGTGTTGGTCAGGAGAGTGCTATTCAGTAAGTCACATGGTGATGGATGACATCTAAAAGTAGGATGGCACTCATCTTTTCTAAGTTCATTAAGTCATTAAATATTCCTAATACTCTATGTAGGTCCTGGGCACCATATTCCTGCTGTAGAGAGCCCTTCAAACTCCAGCCATGCCTGTTTTCTCTTCTAACTGTCCTTAGAAAACAGGATGTACTTTCATATCATCACTACCATTTGCAAAATCTAAAAGGAGAATCAAGAGAAATAGGTAGCAGCACTCCCACACCTTCCTTTGGTTTATTTGCCATTATAAGCTTTCAAGATCAAGGTTTTCTGCAGCAATTCATTTCCCTATTGGGTTCCCTTTAAAGAGAGAGCCTTCATTGCCAGAGCTTGGGTTGTCATCATGCTTGTCTGCTGTGATTGGTGGAGAAACCATGATGTGCACATGTTGATGCTGTGCCTGAGTTGAAGAGCCATGCTAAAGTCTGCTGATTATACAAAGACAAGTTCCTGTGGCTTCTCTGCCTACATATAATTCTGGTTGCAGATTCTAAAAGCACTAATACAGATATTTTGAAGATAAATTAAAATTTTAATTGTAAATTGTTCAGTTTTTTTACAGTAAAAATACATGGTTAGTTTAACTTATTCTTTCTTACCTATACTTGTGATCCAATCATAAAGTAACCATGCTCAACATCTTCCCATTGTTTACTCGAATATCAATTATGCTAAATATCATTCTGAAACTCTTCCTCAACTTCAAAGCAGAAAGTGCTTTCACTTTGAAAGAACATGGATCAGTCATTTTACAATTCTCTGCCTTTAAATGGATCCAATATCAAAAATTGAAATGTACACTAGGAAGTTGAAAGTGCTTTTCTCACAAACCTGGTTTTAGCATTTGTTGAGCAACTTTAGCAACATAAAGTGCCAAGCAGAAGGTGAATCTGGCATTAGGTTGTCGGATCCCATTTTTCACCACATCCAGTAGGTACAGCAGCTACACAGCAAAAAGAGAAATGAAGTCACACGTTACAATTTTGAACAATAAAACTTTCAGCATTTAGTACAGGTCCTTAGTTGAAAGTGAATCTAATTACTTATTACTAATTACTTAACTCAAAAGAAAATAACATGCATGGAAAATGAAAGCGATGTGGGCTGAAACATAGAGGTAATTCTGCCACTATAAATCACCAGTGCAGCCATACTTGGAACAATGTGTACAGTTCTGATCACTGTAGCACAAATGGGCCATTGTACTTATTGAAAACAGACAGAAGAGAGTAACCAGAAAGACTGAAGGGATTGGATTCTGAGCAGTAGGCATCATAATTGGATATGTTCTCACTGGGAGGCAAAGGTTGAGAGGTTAAATCATTGCTATTATCAGAAAATAAGGTAACAAGTCCAGGAGAGCAGGATAGAAGTCAAAAGCCCATACCTAATGACAGTAAATTCAAAACCACGGAAGCAAAATTTCAGTGAGTGGGTATTAATGGAACAGACTCATTGGGGAAAGCACAAAAGTAGTCAACATTAATTAACGCAAATGCAAATCGGATATCTTCCAGAAAATTTTTGGTTGGAGTATACATGTAACTAGAGACATGACGCCAGGTAGGGAGATTTTAGACTCCGATTTCCCAAAGCTATTCACCTCTGCAGTTTGCTCTTGTCAAGTTTGATTCTGTTGTAGACTAATTAACAGTGATGAGTTGCAATGAAAGTCAACAATTGGAACTCACTCCTCAACGTCACCGTTGGTTTACCTAAACTAAATGGACTGCAGCAGTGCACCAACACCTTAAAGGCAACTAATGATGGGAAAGGAATGCTGGCCCAGCCAGTGACACCCATATGCCATGAATGTATAATAAAATAAAAATCAGTAATTGTTACACCGTGCAACTTTCAGGATGGTAGAAGTTAACAAGATGGATCTTGATCTTTTCTCATTTAGTAATCCATATGTTGCTATCTTTAAAGTAATTTCCACCTTTAAGTATGAAACCAAAACACAGCTTCCTGGAAATCTGAAAGCAAAACAGAAATGCTGAAAATTCTCAGTAGATTAGGCAGCATCAGTGGAAAAACAGTTAACATTCCAGACTGATGACCTTTTGTTAGAAATTAACCATCAAATTCTGAAATATTAACTCTGCTTCTCCCTCCACAGATGTTAACCAATCCTCTATTCCTCTTTTTGTACAATATCCCTCGAATTCCATAAGCCCTTATCTTGCCCATCAGCTTTTGAATGGTACCTTACTAGACGTCTTTGAAAGTCAAGGTATACTACATCTACTGGTTTCCCTTTCTCTACCCAATAGTTACATGTGCAAAAAAAAAGTACTATTTTGTCAATAAAGATTTCTCTTTCATTATATCATGGTAACTTATGTCTGATCATTCTATGAATACGTGCATTGTTAAACATACACAGATTCTACCATTTTCCCAACAACTAATGTCAGCCCAACTGTCCTTTAGATCCCTGCTTTCTCCTTCGATCTTTTCATTAATGTTACAGTTGATAACTTTCAATCCACTGGGACAATTCTAGATTCCATGAAATTCTGGAAAATCATAACTATTTCATTCATCATTCCCAAAGTTCTTTTAGAACCCTAAGACATAGGCCATCGGAAATAAAACAAAGTGCTGAAAAAAAAAAAAAAAATCAGATCTGGCAGTGACAGAATCAGAGTTAACATGTTGAGTCCAATATGATTTCTTCTGACTTGCTCAGGATTTTCAGCCCCTTCTACATTAATTCAGATTTCCTGCATCTGCAGTATTTTGCTTTTATTTATTTGGCCTGTCAGGTCTTGGAGATCTATTGTCTTTTAGTCTGTTTTGTTTCTCTAATACCTTTCTACCCTGATCATGTAATTATCTCAAGCTCAAGTTCCTCATTCTCATTTGCCCCTTGGTTACTCTTTATTTTTTATATGTAATTTATAATGTCTGTCTTCACAGGAGAAGTTAAGAAATTACTTCATTTAATTTACGAAAAGGCGAGTGAAAGAAAATAAAACTATAATATCAGCATGCATGCAGGTCCTGCTGTTTCATGCTAGGTCAATCTATCATAAAATATCACTGATAAGACTGACAAGATGTTTTGAGAACTTAATGAAACCGCAGACAGCAATGAAGCTTGGAAACAGGCTAACTGGCACAATCTGTGCATGTGCCCGTGTGCCCCTGAGTGGTAATAAAGGTTCATAACTCTGACAGCATGCTAGTCTGTGCTACTGACAGTCAATGCCACATTAAGGTGCTTTTCCAATATCTGATTTCTTCCTGTGCAGAAGGTCTGTAGATATCATGGATAGTACATGGCATGTAAGACACAGTGGATTCGAAAGATGTGTTTTGAAAGATTCCACAAAGCTCTAAAAGACTTCATTAGTCCAAGACCGATACAAATTACATACCAGGCATTTCACTCACCTGCTGCTTTTCCTTAAAGCGAGCAGCCTCCAGATGCATGTAGTAATTACCCAGAATGTGATAGGCCGCAGCTCTTACATTCTGATCATAACTGCTAAGAGCTGCTACAGTTAATCCTAAAGCATTAACATCAACAAACTTGTAGCAGTCTACCACAGATTCTGCAAAAAAAAACAAAAATCACAAAGATTTCAATTTATTTGACATTTCAGAGCAGGTTTGGGATGATTGGTATTGCTTCAAGTATAAAACTGATTGTAAATAGCAGCCACTGTTTCTCTAGTTAGGTGTGGCAGTTATTTTATATTAGCAATATGCCACAAATAGCAATGGAATGAAATGTGGAATGACCAATTACTTGGTATTGGACAAGGGACTATTGTTGGCAGATAATTGAAAAACATCCTCCTTTTCTCTTAATACTAAAAGATCAGGGGTTGAAACAGCTTACTTGAAAGCAGATATGGTAGCATGTGCTTGTGGACCTATAACTTATTGCCCATCAAAGAATCCCAGAGTTAAGCAAAATCTACCAAGAGTGTCGCTACTATTGAATGGGTTCCTCACTGTGATCAGGAATGTGGTAAGAAGGTATTTTATTTGCTGTAACTTAAGGTGCTCTTTGGTAACATTTGTCTATCTAGCAAGACTTCCATCACACCCTTAACCACCCGTATTGACAACAGAGACTATCCTCCAGAGGAGAGGGCAGAAGATGAGCAGATTCTCTCTAGTATTCCAGTAGCTTCAAGGTGTCAATCTTGACAATGGCAGCTTGGAGCAAAGTAATCCTTTGTGTTAGAGTTAGGAATTTGATTGTCCTATTATTACAAAGGCACAGAGAGGTAAGCCCATCGCTTTGAGCAACTATTTTCCACACCTCAGGCTCCAGTAATATCAGAAGCTAATTTCTCATTAGGGTGAACGGAATTGGTGGATGAGTAGGGGAAATGGATTTACAAGTCATCTACACTTGTAAGGTTCCGGTTTAGCTGGTTAAAGTCTAGGAGTGCCTTGCGTACAATTGGGTTTCCCTGAGCCTTGAATGTTGTCAACCTATGCAAAGTTTTTTTTCATCTTAGGTGACTGGGATGTGCATCTACACAAAGACTTGGTGCAGTCTGTAATCAGACTAATAGAAACTCATAACTGTGTTAATTTCTTGGCAGATTGATGTGGAGACTATTAATCTTGGTGATGAACTTTCTACACATCACATACTCCTGTTAAGAACCAATGAAAAAAATCCACCACTGCTGACAAATGAACTCAGGGAACCACAAGAATAATGAAGGAAAGAAATATAAGAAAGAGAAATAGCATATTGGCAGAGATGAGGGGTGCATTCTGTTCTGAGTGTTAGGTCGAAGCAGGTTTTGAACAGAACACAGCAAGTTTATTCTGCAATTAATCTATACTATTCTTGTTCTGGGTGTATCTGATGCAGAAACATTCTGTTCTATACTCTTAGCATCTCTTACTTTAATAATTGCAAAGCAAAGGATCATTAAACAATCCTTATATTATTAAGTAATCCAAATTAAGTTTATGACTACAGCTCTTTCATAATGGAAATTACATGGTCAGTACACACAGGCTCATTTTGGAAACAGAGACTTAAAATAAAGCAGAAAAGACTGATTTTTGAACTACAGGAGGGAAAATTGATAATTTCTTTCATGTGACCGTGTTCTGTTTTGATCCTAATTTTATGCAGTTCAATGAACCAGCACATCTGTGACATTATGTCACTGAGCAATAGGACACAAATACTTATTTCAGATTTCTAGAAATCTAGACCCAGTTAACCCTAACAATTCCTTTGTGTTGGCTTCACAGCAATTTTGGTAAAGCTTGAACTAATGAATACAAAAATTTAAAACAAAACACTGAAATAATTATAACCAACGGATTGCTTTAGAAACTGTACAAATCATTTTGATGCAGTTAAGCAGACAAGCGGCAAAGACACTGGCACCTACCAAACTGTCTCAATTGTTTCTCTGCAAACGTTCCTGCAGACGTTGTGTTTTCAAATCTGATTTTCAATTTTGAAGCCATAAATGTGGTTTTCTATAAATTTAATGCAATTGACAGGGATAAAAGACCTTGCTGTAAGTAGGTCCTATGATTGAGGTGTGCGATTATTCTAATAAATTACAAAGTAGAAAATATATTTTCCAAGTAGCTATAAAAAGTTCTGAGGAAGGGTCACTGGACCTGAAACGTTAACTCTGATTTTTTCTTCACGGATGCTGCCAGACCTGCTGGGCTTTTCCAGTAACTTCTGTTTTTGTTCAAGCTTATATTGGATGATTTTGCAAACTCTGTCCCTGGGAGCATTATCATGTAGGATTACTCCTTTCAATGTGAACACAATAAGTTACTCAAGATCTATTATTTATAACGGTGTGATAAAAACTATAAATGATATGTACATATAAATAGGGCCCATACTTTTTTTTATTCACTTGTGGGATGTGGGCATCGCTGGCTTGGCTGCATTTACTGCCTGTCTGTAGTTGCCTTTGAGAAGGTGGTGGTGAGCTTCCTGCTTCAATTGCTACAATCCACTATGTCCTGGGGAGGGAATTCCAGGATTTTGACCCAACAACAACGAAGGATTTATTTCCAGGTCAGGATGGTGAGTGGCTTAGAGGAGAACCGCACACGGTAATGTTCCCATGTATCTGCTGCCATTGTCGTTGGCTTTCTAGATGGATGTGCTTGTGGGTTTAGAAGTTGTTGTCTAGGGATCTTTGGTGAATTCTGCAGTCTATGTTGCAGATAGTACATATTACTACTATTGAGCGTTGGTGGTGGAGGTAATGGATGCTTGTGGATATGGTGCCAATCAAGTGGGCTGCTTTGCCTTGGATGGTGTCAAGATCCTTGAGTGTTGCTGGAGCTGTACCCATCTAGGCAAGTGGTGAGTATTCCATCACACTTCTGACTTGTACCTTGTCGGGTCTGGGGAGTCAGGAGTGAGTTACTCGCTGCAGCGTTCCTAACCTCTGGCCTGCTCTTGTAGCCACTGTGGTGAATCCAGTTGATTTCTGGTCAAAGGTAATTCCCAGGATGTTGATAGTGGGGAATTCAGTGATGGTAACACCACTGAATGTCATGGGTTAAATTGTCTCATACTGGAGATGGTTATTGCTTGACATTTGCATCATGTGAATGTTACTTGCCACTTGTCAGCCCAAGCCTGGATATTCTCCAGATCTTGCTGCATTTGAACATGGACCACTTGAATATCTGAGGAATCGCAAATGGTGCTGAACACTGTGTAAGCATCAGCAAACATCCCTATTTCTGACCTTATGATGGTGGGAAGGTCACTGATGGAGCACCTGAAGATGGTTGAGACATAAAGAGACCTCAAGACAACTGTTTAGCTATGGAATAGTAGATGGTTTCATGAGTTATCCTCTGGTAAAAGGATTCAACATCAGTTGATGAAGACAAAGTTACCTCTTTGCTGGAATCAAGCAACTCACCCAATTTCACTATCAGAAATCTGCTGTAGAAACTCTCATCCATGTCTTTACAACTTGCATACTCAACAATTGCACCCAAAGCTCTTCATGCCAACCTTTCATCTTCTACCCTCTGGAAATTCCAGTTCATTTAAATCTCTGCAGTTGTATTATATCCATCATCAAGCCTCCCAACATTTATCCCTTCTTTCCTCAACAGCACATTGGTACCTGTTCTTTCCATGCCTCAAATAGTGAAGGTTTTATCCTTCAGAATCTCAATATTTTTTTAATATTTATTTATATCAAACTATTATTTCATTTTCCTCCACCTGTGGCGTTTATTATTTCCCTGCTCCTCACTTGACTTTTGACTTTCACCAACCACGGAATTCCCTTCCTAAATACTCCACTTCTCTCTTCTCCTTAACAGCACTCCATAAAACCCATTTCTTTGGCCACGGTTTTAGTTAGTACTCCAACATAAAGAACTTGCATTTACATTGTACCGCTGAATGTCACAAAGTGTTCCACAACGAATGAAGTACTACTGAAGTGCAGTCATTGTTGTAGACAGCCTGGCAGCCAATTCACATACAGACAGGTCTCACAAACTGCATTGAGAAAATAACCAGATAATCTGCTTCAGAGATAGCAGGAACTGCAGATGCTGGAGAATCTGAGATAA